CGCCAGACCCCGTACCTCAGTCCCTCGAGTTCTGTTCATCATCTCAACATTTCTCGCCTGATAGAAACAACAAGAATATGCGAGGAGCTAAAAAGAAAAAGAAAGAAGAAAAAAAAGGAAGGCGTAACACCAGCAGGAGTCGTATTTACAAGAGGCAATTTCCACGTGTCAAGCGCAACAGCTCTGCCTTGTTGATAAGAAGCGCGAGATGGATGGGCGACGCTCACGCTTTCCGACGGCTCCCTGAACTCGGCCACTCTTTGAGCACCCATTAATTATTTAAACCGTTGCTTATACAAGCCATCTACTTCAACCTTACCGTGCGAGCAATACCCCGGGCTATTAGGTGTGATCGATGTGGCCTTGCATCATGGAGTTCTCTGTCCATCACCGAAGATAAGGCTAGAAGGGCACCGCGAACAGCAGCCAGAATGCGTGTCTCTCCCTGATAACTTGCCACTGATCGATTTACATATATATCTTTTTTCTTCTCCTTCCTCTTCCTCCCTCTCTCTCTTTTTTTTTCTCTCTCTCTCTCCTCGCTTCCTTCCTCGAGGTGTGTCTCTCTCTTCCTTTCATGAATTCACGACCTCGGGAATCTGGTATTCTTCACCGCCTACAACAGACCGGCACACTGCCCTGCGTCTGTTCTCTCCCCCTCCTCCTCCCCCCCCTCTCCTTCTTCTCTCTCCCCCTCCCTCCCTCCTCCCCCCTCTCTCCCTCCCACTCCTTCTTCCTCTCTCCCTTCCCTCTCTGCCTCCTCCCTCCTCCTCTCTACCCCCCTCTCTCTCCCTCCCTCTCCCCTCCTCCGTGCCTCTCCCTCTCTCCCTCTCCTCCTGCCTCTCTCCCTCCTCCCTCCTCTCTCCCCCTCCTCCCTCCCCCTCTCCCTCTCCTCCTCTCTCCCTCCTCCCTCCCTCTCTCCCTCTCCCCCCTCCCTCTCTCCCTCTCCACCCTCCGTGCTGTTTCTTCTCTGTGCTTTTTAACATTCTTCCGCTTTCCCGCGTGTTTCGTTCTTCCATTTTCTTTGTTTTTGTTTAGCGGTTTCGTTACAGATTTGTTCGTAATTGTGAATGAATGGTCTTTCTCTCTCTCTCTCTCTCTCTCTCTCTCTCTCTCTCTCTCTCTCTATATATATATATATATATATATATATATATATATATATATATATATATATATATGTGTGTGTGTGTGTGTGTGTGTATATATATATAAATATATATATATATATATATATATATATATATATATATATATTAATATATATATATATATATATATACATATACATACATACATACATATATATATATATATATATATATATATATATATATATATATATATATATATATATATACACATGTATATGTATATGTGTACACACACACACACACACTCACACAAATACACACAACACACACCACACACACACACACAACACACACACACACACACACACACATATATATATATATATATATATATATATATATATATATATATATATAGAGAGAGAGAGAGAGAGAGAGAGAGAGAGAGAGAGAGGAGAGAGAGAGATGTATATATGTATGCGTATATATTATACATGTTATACCTATTTTATTATTAATTATCTATAGCATTATTTTGATCAATATCATTACTATTAATAAAATCATTACCACCATAATTATCATAGTTATCATCAGCAGCATTATATTTATTTCATGGTAATTTATTTCATTCATATCATTAATACGGAATTTTCACCGAAAGATTTTACCCAAAAGTGTGTCTTAAACCAGCTTCGATTCCATTAAATTCCAGCTGTGATCAGAATCCGAAGCATAGCGATATAGGGAAACACGGACACCACTAGTGTACTTGAGAAAGAGTGTGATTTTAATGTAATTCTTCGTGTGAATATTTTTATTGAAGCATTGACCATATTGCCTTGGCGGAGGTATGCGTTCTCTGGGTGCTTTTCGTTTTTATTAGGTCTTAATATTGTTATTCACTTTATTGTCGTTAGTATCATTATCATTCTAATAGCGGCATCTTTTATCTTTACCATTATTATTATTATCATTATGATTATTGTTATCATTATCATTATTGTTAGTATTATCATGATTACCACTGTTAATATTCTTAATAGCATTACTATTATCATTATTTCTATTATCATTAGTATTATCATTATTAATACTATTCCATCATTATTATCATCATCTTCATTCCTATTATGATTATTATAATCAATTTCATTATCCTAATTTTCACTATCAATACTATCGTCATCATTCCTCACATTGTTATCATCATCATTAGTCTCATCCTTATCATCTTTATCACCACCCCAGGTGAGCGGCGGTGTGGCCGGGGTGCTGCCCCACCCGCGGGCCCCCCCAACGGACTCCCCCGCCCTGGGTGTTGACGCGGGCCAGCACAAGCCCCCACCTGCCGGCGACGCTGATGGAGCACTCGCAGGAGAGAGTGTGCCTGTTGCTGCCGTGGCCCCCCGCACACCCACGGCCTCCCCTGGCGCACCCGGGGGCCCCCTGGACCCCCAAATTCTACAGGCGTGGTGGACGACGGGCGGAGTCGTGGGGAAAGTCCATGGACTTCCTTGCTCTCTCATCAATCGGTTTCGCTGTGGACCTGGCTAACGTGTGGCGCTTCCCCTTCCTGTGTTACCGCAACGGTGGAGGTGAGTCCCCCTTGGCCCCAGCATAGGAACATTCAGCATCAGGGCCTATAGAACACTTATCATAGACCTCGCTCAGCACCCAAGCACATACAAATAAACTCCACTATACATCTTCATAATAAGATATTAGACGACCAGTTTTTAACATTTATGCGAGGCTCGACCCAATGAACATTCACATATACAGACATGCATATTCACAAAAATAAATATGTCTCTCTATCTCTCTGATACATAGATATTTATCTATCTGACCGGGTAGATATGCATGTCTAGACTGATAGATTTGCACATATTTCAATGTATATGCATGTCCGTATGATGAAATAAATTGTGTCCAGCCTCCCACAATTTTTACAAACCAACCAATACTCTTTACTGGCAGTCACGAAACCTCCTTCCACTCCATTATTGAAATCATCATAATAAAAATAGAATCAGTCCATACAGCAGTTGCATAACCCACTTACAACTCCACTAGCAAACCATCATAATGAAATATCAGGTCGACGATAGAAGTACGTTTAGAAACTCGCTCATATATCAGAGTAATACTTCCGTCACATAACCCCTTTCCGACTCCATAACACAAAATCAACATAAGATATCAGAGTCTATACTCCCCGTCGCATAACCCCCTTCGACTCCATAGTGCAAATCATCGTAAGATATCAGAGTCTATACTTCCCAATGCATAATCCCCTTCCAACTCCATTGTGCAAATCATAAAATAACAGTCTATACTTCCGTCGCATAACCCCCTTCTGACTCCATTATGCAAACATCCTAATATGATACCAGAGTCTATCCTGTCAGTCGCATGACCCCCTTTCAACTCCATTGTGCAAATCATTAGATATCAGAATCTATACTTCCAGTCGCATAACCCCCTCCTGACTCCATTACGCAATTCATAATAAAATACCAGAGTCTATCCTGTCAGTCGCATAACACCCTTCCGACTCCACTATACAAATCACCATAATATGATACCAAAGTCTACTTCCCGTCGCATAACCCCTTCCGACTCCATTACCCAAATCATATAATATAATACCAGAGTCTATATTTCCCGTCGCATAACCCCCTTCTGACTCCCCGCAGGTGCCTTCCTATTTCCCTACTTCCTGATCACAGTCTTCGGGGCGCCCGCTCTTCTTCATGGAGTTGGTGCTCGGCCAGTACAACCGCCAGGGACCCATTACCGTATGGAAAGTGTGCCCCTTGTTCAGAGGTCGGTGTTCCTTGCCTTTAGTATCGTTAGGGTAATGATAGCAATAATTATGATGAGAATAATGGGAATGATAATAGTAATGATAGGAATGAGAATAATAATAATAATAATAATAATAATAGTAATGATAGTAATGATAATAATAATAATAGTAATGAAATAATAATAATAGTAATAATGATAAAATGATAATAGTAATAATAATGACAGTGATAATAATAATAATGATGATAATAATGATAGTAATAATAATGAGAATAATAAATTAATAATGGTTATTATTATTCATTTTTATGTTTCGTTTTTTTTCTTCTCTTTTGGTGAGGGATGGGGTCCTTGAGATGTAGAAATTTAGTGCTTTCCAAAAATTCTTATTCAAAATTGTTATAGGCACTGGGTTTCAAAATCGCTTGAAGAACGATAATAGGTTTATTCTTTAATAAGCCTATGTTGTGCATTTTTCCCCTTACCCAATAGATTATGGACCGCCTTTCAAAAAATGACATGTGGTCTTAAACTCATATAAGATTTATATGTGGATTCATTCTCAAAACAACATGCACTGAAGTACACATTTTTTTTTCTTTTTCAATCAGCAGAATTTTATTTTGTTTTATCATCAATGCATTATTATTGTTTCTATCAGCACTATTTTTCTATCATCAGCATTTTTTTTTCTTTTATCAAAATTTATTTATTCTATCATCAGCACTATATTTTTTCTATCATCAGCATTTTCCTTTTTGTATCATCAGCAATCTATTTTTTCTTTCATCAACATTAATTTTTCTGTCATCAACATAACTTTATCTGCACTTTTTTTATTTACTACTTTTATCATCAACACAACTTTTTTATCATCAGCATTTTACTGATTTATCAGCACTTTTTTTTCATCAGTAGCACTTCTTCTACCATTACTACGACTTCTTATCTGTCTTATCTTCCTTCAGGCGTTGGCTACTGTGCCGTGCTGGTGGCCTACTTCGTCAGTTTCTACTACAACGTGATCATCGCCTGGTCCATCCACTTCGTCTACGCCTCCTTCAGCTACGTGCTGCCCTGGACGTCGTG